TAAACAAGTGGTTAAAGTGTTAATTTTTAAATATTTTCAGCCAGAATTTGTGTTTGGAACTATTATTTTTAATTCGTTGAATAAATTAATTAGGATTTGTCAGCCAGTAGTGATAAAAAATGGCTAGCCGGAAATTCGTCCAAACTATACACATTCTAAAATGATGGTAAAAAAGAAAACCATTCAAATAATGAGGAATAGAAAGTATAGTTTCATGTAGTTTTGAAAAGCCATAACAAATCTCCATGTTTTTTTAATAGTTTTAAAACATAGTAAATTAAATTAATGGTAATAGTTTGTCGTTTGTGTCAAACAAAAAATACTTAAGTAAATTATAGTAATAAATGATTATTTATTCAAAAAAGAAACACACAGAAAACAAAAAGACAAAAAACAATTTGTTATACCATTTTATATTTATGTTTTTAAAATTGTTAATTTCTGTAATATTGTAATCTATCACAACCATCTTTATTTTGAATCATTTTTAAAACATAAATATGAACATTTAATTGTTTGATGTGTTGTGTTTTCATCAACAGACATTACTTGTTTTTTATGTAATAATAATTAGGATTTTTGAAGTGTTTTCATTAAATATTCTACAAAACGATGTACCAATGATAAAATAAAGTAGATTGTTATTTGACATGTACCAAATATACACATTAAATAATTTATTTGAACCTAACACGGTTTGAATTCTAAATAATAAAGAAAAAGATTATAATATTCAACATTAACAATTTGTTTTAAATAAAAAATGATAATATAATAGTGTAACATTAAACACAACAATTAAACAACCATTTTACCGTGTTTGGATAGTGATTATACATATAATAATTAAAAATATTATTTATTTTTAAAATGAAATAAATTGTTTTTGTATATTAAAACAAATTGTTAAATTTTGTGCAACTGGATCCAAAGTTGATAACAAGTTGTATTGAATTGTAAATAAAAACGATTATCATGTTTTCATTATTAAATGTGCTGTTTAGAACACAACGAAATGAACATAAAAATAAATATATACATTTGGTATCGTCCAATTTTGTAATGTCAATTTATATATCATAATTTTTATATATAAAACAACAAACTGTCATATAAATTAATTTGTGTCAAGATTTTAAGACACTTTATTTTATATTTTGGTTTCAATAATGCTGATAATTAAATTGAGAAACATAAAATGACTCTTTTTGTGTTTTATTTGATACACTGATTAATGTTTAATGAATATAATGAAACTATGATTACTTTAATGTTTGAACAAGTTAAATTATATATTATGTTCTAGCACATAATGTAATGACAACATTTTTTTATTTAAATCCAATGACATTTTCCTATTATTTATTTATGCCATTCAGTAAAATTTTTTTCTCAAAAACTTATTTGTTTTATTTTTCTTTAGTTTTTGGTTTAACACTCAAATGGCCTAAAGCTAAAAAATATAATTTTTCAAATAATTCTTTACCAAATTTGATTTTTGCCTTTGTTTTCAAAATGAAATTTGATAGAATTCATATAAAAATAATTTTGAAAGTGAAGACATAATGAAATAATTATTTTGTATAATCATAATAACATAAACTAATATTATAGAAATTTTTTAAATTTGCAAATAAAAAAATGATGTTTGGACAATGAAAAACTTTTGTAAACAAGTGTTTAATAATATTAATTAAATAACTAAATAAATAACTAACTAAATAGTTTTATTTGTTTTTTATTGATTTATCTTATTAAATTATAATAATTTTAATAGATTATTTTTTTTGTTTTTTTAAGAACTTTTTTTAATGACATAAACTAAATCTTCAATAAAAATAACAAAATATTATCGAATTAAAAAGCAACTTGCTGTTCATCTGGTCAACAGCAACGTAAATCAAATTAAATTGAGTTTGTTATAATTCATTTTCGTATTATTAATATATGTCTTATTTAAGCGACAAGATTTGTTATTGTGTATTTAGTATTATTATTATTCAATAAAACAGTAATATTTGTGGTTCTGAGATACAGTAAAATCTCCTAAAAGTGGCACTTCTGAAGAGCGGGTTGTCTCAATAGAAAGCAGTTTAGACTGAAACATAAATCGAGTTCTCTAAAAAGTGATAATTAAGGTCTGATTGTCTAAAATGACCGTTCTTGAGAGAACAAAAATTACTATACCTTCCCGCTTTTGAGAGGTTTGACTTTAATTTGAAAAAATGTGTTGCTATTTTTAACCTCAAAAACAAATCTTAGGTAATTGAGTCCTCATTTTTATTATTTTTGACTAAGTTCAGGGCAGTTTTTCTGTTTTTCGGCCAAGAAGGGGTTTTTGGTCTTTTTTAACGACTTTTTTCAAGAAGGCATTTTTTGATATTGTTATTATTCTAATAAAAATTTGGTTTTCGGCCAGTTAAGTGTTAAATATCTAAATTTTTCTTATTTTTTTTCTGGTTATTATTTGTTTTTCAAAACACTTTTGGTCTTATTATTTGAAAAACGGAATAAAGTGCAGTTTTGAGTATACCTAGGGTCCGAATGACCAACTTGGTTATTTTGCCGAATTTTGGTTGGGTTTTATCAGAATGCAGATACCAATTTTTTCACAACCAAAAACCGAAGATAAAACCGATTCAAAAACTTAAAAAGGGGTAGCTACTTTTTGTTTCAAAAATAGTAAATAATCCAAAACAGCTCGTTCAAAGAACCGAAAGAAACAAAACCTAATAATGTCTTTGTTTAAAATATAAAACACAAAACTGTCTCAAAAAAAATATTATGAACATTAAGGAAAAGAAAAACCAAAATAATTGTTTTCAAACCAATTTATAAAATACATTTTGAACAAGTTGTGATGAATTGTAAAAATAATTTAAACAGCTTGTTTTATTAATTATAATTAATAGTTAAATTTTTGTTAAAAAACGTATATGAATAAGGTCAATTTATAATTAAAATTATAATGTATAATAGTATTATTACCTGGTTGCTAGACACAGTTAATTCGACTTGAACTCTCAACAATCAAATTCTTTGTAAAACCTTTTGCTTTTTAAGTGGCTACAACCATTTCCTTCATCTCTTTGATGGCAACAACATTTCCTCGATATGTTCCTTTGAACACAATCACAAAGCTTCCTTCTCTGAGTTTTCGTACTTTTTTAAACTCGTCTGGGTCAAGTGCTGTCGACATTTCTGACGCAAATTTGACTAGAATTTTTATCTCTGATATTTTGCCTTTGTTGATGTTTAAGACTGAACAAGTGATGTCAACAGTCTTTTAAAGTGTACACAGCGGATGGACAGCAACAGTAAATTCAACAGCACGACCTTTCTTGATACTCACTGGTATGGAAAGTTTAACATTCAACTCAAACTTTTCCTTGTCATTTTGTGTTGTGAATTGAATTTTCAATAAAGACGCTCTGTCGTTGTCAATCATTAATTTGCATTCGCTGTCTTTCTGAACTGCAATTTCTCCTTCAAAATGCGTTTTTGAGTGCCAATATATATGATATCAACTTCTTTCTTTTTTAAAATTTTCAACAAAAATTCGTTGACAAGTGACTTCCTTAACTTCTCTTCTTTTCTGTAATGAATACAAAAAAGTATACAACTTATTGTTATAATAATAATAACAACTATAAAAATACAAAAATGATTGGAAGTATAATTGAGAGTATATTTGTCTTGTGAACACACTCGTCTCCATTTGGTCCAAATTTGTTGCTTACACTGCGCTCACTGCATTGTCGTGTTTTTGGATCATACGATTCACAAATTGCAATTGAATTCCATTTCACACATTGTGATGTTTTTTGATATCAAAACATATTGATTAATACATAAAGAGCACGTGTTATTGTCTGAACAAGTCGCACGCAATTTAACACACTTTGAGCATTTTAAATATTTGTTTTGATAATACCTATCGAGACACACAGCACACCCATATTCTGAAACCAATTTACAGTGTCAAGTGTTGTATTGATGACACACTTCTTGTCTTTTATTGTTGTAAATTCGACATATTGGTAATACCCACCTTTCACGTTACACTTTGCACGTGTTGAAACGTTGCCAACACAACTTGAGCACTTTCTATCACATGGAAGACATTCAGTACCAATTAGATAATACACGTCATAACACTTGGTTCACCCCGTATTGCTGTTTTCTTTGCAGTACACAGTCTTCACTTCTGTATTGCAAACCAATACACCCTCATTGGAAGTTCTAAGTGAGATTTGTAAATCATAATGTAGGCAATTGCCTGATGATGTATACGAGCATAGCGTCGTTTCCATTGAAACACATTTTTTGTCATCAAATTTGTACTTCTCTTCGCAAATTGCACATTTTGAAGTTGATAAGTCGACACTTTGGCAACGCGCAGTAGACATGTCAACACATTGTGTGTCACTTAAAATATAGTTGTCTTTACATAACATACATTGCACCTCTAATATTTGTTATCATAACAACAGATTTGTAGTGGATTTCACTTAACATTTCGCGTGAGCCGAGAATAAGATAATAACCTTTATTACACACAGTACATCCTTTTGGCGTTGACGTCAAACAAATTGATAGTGAAACACAACTTTCATTAACAAGAGAAAACCCATTTGAGAATATATAACACGTAGTTGGTGTTGTGCAAGTCAGATAATTATCTCCACACAACTCGCATTGTTGTGGATATATTTTGTTCAAAAAGTATTTCGAATAACATTTTATACATAGTCCTTTTAATAATGCCTCACGTCCAACATCATCACTCCATAAAGTTGTATATGTTTTTGTTTGTAAACGTTTAAGGTATTTTTCGCATTTAATTGTGTTGTAACTATCTAAACAAAAGGAACATTTTTGTGTTCGTTTCAACCATTGAACAAACACCATTTAAGTTGATTGAATTGAAACATGCCATACATCCAAACCAATTTGGTACTTCTGACAGTATTTGTGGTTCTTATATGACAGTGTTGAATCTAAATGAGCCCTATACTCAAATGATTTTGTGTGTTGATTATTTGTTCTTGTTGTACAAGTCGAACAACTTGTAGTACACTCGATTCTGTATCCCTCCTTATCTATCAAATTTGTTGTTGTCAATCATTTCTTGTGTTCTCGAGACTCAAACGCCATGCCACTTTGACAAGCAGAGCACTCCAAATTGTCAACGTCAATTGTCAAATTGAGTTGTTTGTAGTCACATGAATAACACCCATAAAACAGATTGGAACACTTCATACTGACACTATCTGACACTTTGAACTCATCTGCTGCAATTTCAACGCAATTTCCTTCGGTCTTAAATACCATTCGATTGGATTCGCAGTTTATTGCTCTTTTAATGCTCAATGAAATCGTTTTTGAAACACATTTATTGTAATTATTCAACTCCAATCATATGGAGCATAATATACAATTCGATGATTTGTATATTGTGCTTGTATATAATTATGCCATGTTGAGACGAGACATATTACATGGATGCATTATGTGCAACAACAATGGAAAACCGGAATCGTTTTGATGTAATTATTAAGTCTATTTTTGTGACATCATTAGTGACTTAACTGTTGCAGATTCTCTTGGTATTTCCCAAGCGCTGATATCAAACCGTACTGTATTTTTATAACTCTTCAAAACTCTACATGGAAGTGCTGCAAAAAGAAAATGTAACACAGTCAAGTCTGTTCGAACAGCGTCTTTGATGTTGGAGTTTCTCGTGTATAGTGTTGAGTTGGTGCTCATCAAAGAGATCATCCAAAGTTTTATCTCGCTAAGGCCACAACCATTGAGATCTATGAAGAATAATTAACCATACTTGACTCCAAACCATTTAATTTGTTTATTTTTGGTGTTGTTTGTTTATCTGTAGTCTCAAAAAAGACACTTTCGAGGCGTTCTCTGGGGTAAACGACGAAGTTTCATTATAGACTATTTTACCGAAATTTCGAAAAACTCTTTCGGAGTCTATGCTTGTTGGTTGAAAAGAGAGATACTTCCTGGCAATATCATATAAATCGGCGTGTTTGTTTAGTTTAATACAGTTTTGCCAATATTCTTCGGGACTTTTACAGTTTTCTCCGTTTTCTATCGCACCACGATCTTCTAAATACAATCTAATTGCTTTATCAATTGGTGATTCTTCTAGTCTTTGTACTGCATCAGTTGTCATCATTGGAATTGCCCAATTGGCAAATTCAATATGAAAATTTGAACTCGAATTTAAAAAGGCGGAACTACTTTGTGGTGTTATATTACTTATGCCACTCAATTCAGCCTTCACTCTTTGAACACAGGTATTGATTTGTGTTTCAAACAAATCACCATCACGAGTAATAGGAAAAAAGAAAGCTGCTAAAATATATTCTTCTTTTGGAGAAATAGCGCGCAGTCTTTTTTCGAATTCAGATCGAGCTATCATTTTCCAGTCCTTTCCAAAAATAGTCCCAGCTTCAATTTCCATAAAACCACTTTCAGATTCTTCTGCATAATCTTCATCTATTTCACTATGTTTTAATATATTTTTTAGAAACCCTTCCGGTTGGTAAATAGAAGAGGAAATTGTGTTCCAAATGTCTCTAATAGCTCCCACAACATAACACGATGTAATTTTTTGGTTCGCCGCCAATTTGTTGTAAAGATCGTCCATTGCTTTTGTGAGTGAATACATTTCTTTGACCCCTTTCCACCCCTCTTCATTGAATTGAATCCCATTGTTCAGTTCTTTAACACTCTTCTCTCTTTTTAACAATTTGCTAAAAGAAAGGTAACATGAATTAAACCGCGTTTTCGTATAAGTCGCAAGACATCCAGGCTCTTCACAATTTTTTGAACACAACTCTTCAAATATTCTTTGTGTTTTTTGAGAAAATTGGAGTGTTTTGGCCAAAGAATTAATACGTTTCACGAAGGCTTTCATCCCTTGTATTTGTTTTATCACAGCAGAAAACAAATTATTCGACGTGTGTACAACACAGTCTGTTTTGTTTCCATTTATTTCAGACAATTTATTGTTATTTGATGCCGAATCAGCAACAAATTGTATGTTGTTAACATTCAAATTTAAATCGGTAACAATTTGACTCACATACGTTTTAATTTCCTTTCCTGTATGTTCTACATTAAAAGGACTCACATTCAAAACTTTGTTGTGTGACTCAAATTGTTTATCGACATAGTGGAGAGTTGTTGTTATATAAGAATTATTATATTTACTCATGATATCTGTTGAAATAGATCCTGATAGATTATTGAAAACGACATCTTCTTTAATTCTTTTTTTGAGATCTCCTAGTTCTCTATCGTACAATTCAAAAAGACAAGTTGTTCTAAATGTTTTTTCGTCTGACAATACAACTGACTTATCGAGAAAATTCAGTAACTCAACTAAAAAGGGATTTCGAATTTGACTAAAAGGAATTCCAACAGATGAAAAAAATCTCATCAACATTATGTTAACCTCTTTATTTCTTTGTGACATTTTTGGAAACAGTTTTCTCCTTTTTTCTTCATCTTTCAATTTGTCGTAATGTAAATTAATTAAATGATTTTTTGCTGATGAAGTAGACTGTGTGACCATGTTATAATTTAACATTTTGTTACAGAGAAAACATTTTATAAAAAAGGAACAACCTACACATTTGGGTTCTCCCTTTGATTGGTATTCACCGGGAAGACACTCGGCGTGTTCTTGGCATGGCAAATATACAATTTTCATGTAATTCCAAATAAATGAACGAATTATTATTAATTGTAGATCCAAACACAAAAAATATTATATAGTTTCATATTTTAGTATTTATTGTTTAAATAAATTATAAAAACAAATGTTTTATTTGTTTAGATAATAGTATTTTTTAATATATATTTATTTAAAATATCAAGTTAATAAGTAATTTATTTTGTGAATGTATTTGTTTATAATAAAAATAATAACATTTTCATTTTTAAATTATAATTATTTATTTTTTATATTATATAATAATACAAATAACTTATTAAATAAATAATATCGTTTGTTGTTTTTTATAAATAATGTTGTAATTATTAAAATAGCTTCATTTTTGTCTAAACATCGGGCATTAGGTAAAGCGTGAAAAAACCCGAAACAATTGGGATGGTTTTTTGGGTCTGCTTCCCGAAATATTCCATTAATTATGGTCCAAAAGGTACCAAGTAACGTTAAAAGACCGACTATATACTTAATTTTTTCTTTACATTTAGTGCATAATGCTTTCAACTGTCCATAACAAGACCAAACATCAAATTCTTTACAAGAGCAAACAATGCATTTGAATATAATTCATTTTTCATTTCCAAACTGTCCAAAAAATCATTTTCATTGTTTAAACATGTATCATTTGTAAATATTGTCTCTGAGTGTTTAAAAACGTATTCTTTATTAAAGTCGGAGTGTTTGATTAAACCAATCAATACGGTTTTGTTAGTTGGTTAGGTCAATTTTTTTGTTAAAAAAATATATATTAAATTATTATTGAAAAAATATAATTAAAATAAATAGTTAATATTTATGTTAATTTAACTAAATTAACATCGATTTTTTCATAATTAAAAAAGTGTGAGTTAATTAAATTACTATGATTTTTTTTCTAGTTGTTCCTTTTT